AAAATGAGCCCAGGAATTCGAGGCTGCAGTGAGCTATGATGGCATCTGGGTTGAACAGAGTGAGACCCTGTCTCAAAAAAAGAAAGAATAAATTAATTGGACTTAAGCATATGTTAGGTCTTTTCTTGATATAATTCATTTTCGCTTTGGATTCTGTGGTAGTTAAATGGCACAGGAAGGCAAGACAGAAGGGCTCTGTGTGTTCCATATTGTTTACCACCTCCTCCATGGATTTTTTACATTTTTTATTATTACTATTTTTTGAGACGGAGTCTTGCTCTGTCACTGGAGTGCAGTGGCGTGATCTCGGCTCACTGCAACCTCCGCCTCCCGAGTTCAAGCGATTCTCATGCTTTGGCCTCCCAAGTAGCTGGGATTACAGGCATGTGCTACCACGCCCAGCTAATTTTTGTAATTTTAGCAGAGACAGGGTTTTGCCATTTTGGCCAGGCTGGTCTCAAACTCTTGACCTCAAGTGATCCATCCACTTCAGCCTCCCAAAGTGCTGGGATTACAGGCATGAGCCTGTGCCTGACCAGATTTACTTTCTTGGAGTCTGAAGAAGATGGAGATGGACAGAGAGATGATTTCCAAACCTATGCAAAATGCTGATGCACAAAAAATAATGTACAATGAATTCCTTTGTATTCATACTATCTCTCTAGCCAAGAATTCAAGTAAAGTTTTAAATTCAGTCTTCTCTTCTCATGCCCAAATGGGATTGGAACTAGCAGGGTCTGTTTCGTTTCATTTACAGAAGAAAATAAGGCCTGGAGAGAAGAAGGCACATGTCTTCAGGTCATTTAGAATAGATTCAAGTACATAAATAACTTAAAACAGCAGTTTTCAACATTAAAAAAAAGTTTTACTTCTGCTTTTTTTATAGAGAAGCTGACACCTGGCACTTATAAATGACAAGTGAGACAATTTCCAATTTCTACCCACATTCATACTCAAGAGAGGAGAGTAAAATATGCAGAGGGACAACAAGGCTTTACGCCTTCACCTCACATAATGCTGAGAGTCGACCACAAGAGCAATTCCATTCCCAAGGTTCAAAGTGGGTTCATTCTCTACCCTGCAAAGCAAAGCAAAGCTAAGCCATCTCTCAAATATTCTAAAATCAATCTGTTTGACACAAATTTTGGCCCATGACTACTACCACCCCAGTGATTACTAGAATTCAGTAACTAATTAACCAAGGGGAAAATGGTAATATTTAAGTTTACCCCCTCTAGAGACAGGGATGAATCTACTAAAATAATAAAATGTGGGGGTGTCAGAAAATTAGTTTCAAGGTGACTTTGGGTCAAGATATCAAACTGTGAATCTTTTGGAAATAGGACAATAATAGCTGAGAAAAACTGCAGAGCCATAGCATCATCTTAAGCCATAGACCTAAGAACTTACCCAAAGATCTCTGTGGAGAGGATTCCATTTACCTTTATACTGAAATTAAATCTGACCTGCAAAACAATAAATTAAGTGTGAGATTTAACATGAGCTAAGATACAGATTAAAAACTTCCATATCTAATCCCTAAAGAAAAAGGATAAGTTTAAAAAATTTTAAATTAGTATTACTTTTAATTGATAAACTATAACTGTATACATTCATAGGGTACAGTGTGGTGTTTTGATATATGTATACAATGTGGAATGATTAAATCAAGTAGATTAACATCTATCACATAACTTACTAGCATTTTTTGTGGTGAGACATTTGAAATTTACTCTCAGCTATTTAGAAATACATAATATATTATTATTGACTATAGTCACCCCCCTGTGAAATAAGATTCTAAAAACTTATTCCTCCTGTCTAACTGAGGCTTTGTACCCTTTAACTAACAACTCCCTATTTCCTTCCTTGACCCACTCCCAGTCTCTGGTAACCACCATTCTATTCTCTACTATGAATTTGATTTTTTCAGATTCCACATATAAGTGAAATCATAAAGTATTTGTGTTTCTGTTGATAAAGAAAATGTGGTATATACACAATGGAATACAGTTAGCTTTTTTTTTTTTAATTTTTTGAGACAGGGTCTTATTTTTGATATTCTATCAAAATTTCTTGGCCAGGCATGATGGCTTACACCTATAATCCCAGCATTTTGGGAGTCTGAGACAGGTGGATCACTTGAGGCTAGGAGTTCAAGATCAGCTTGGCCAACATGGCGAAACCCCATCTCTACTAAAAATACAAAAATTAGCTAGGTGTGGTGGTGCACACCTGTAATCCCAGCCACTCAGGGAGCTGAGGCAGGAGAATCACTTGAACCTGGGAGGTGGAAGCTGCAGTGAGCCAAGATCAAGCCACTGCACTCCAGCATGGGTGACAAAGCAGAACCCTGTCTCAGGGAAAAAAAAAAAATCGTTATTTGTTCTTATAGTCATTTTAGGAAAGGAGATAAACAGCAAGGTTTATTATCTAGGTTTAACAAAAAACAAAGCACAGAGGAGGGAAGAGGTATCTAAAGTGATACAATAAGGCAATTTAAAAAAAAAACCAAAAACTGAAAATAACCTAAAACAAAGCTCTCTCTATCCAGAGGTTTCTCAGCTATAACACATAACCATCATTAAGATTGCCTTGGCCGGGTGTGGTGGCTCACACCTGTAATTCCAGCACTTTGGGAGGCCGAGGTGGGTAGATCACCTGAGGTCAGGAGTTTGAGACCAGCCTGGCCAACAAAATGAAACCCCATCTCTACTAAAAATACAAAAATTAGCCGGGCATGGTGGTGCACACCTGTAATCTCAGCTACTAGGAAGGCGGAGGCAGGAGAATGGCTTGAATCTGAGAGGCAGAGGTTGCAGTGAGCCAAGATCACGCCACTCACTAGGCAAGAGTGAGATTCTGTCTCTCAAAAAAAAAAAAAAAAAAGATTGCCTTGGGCCAGATGCGGTGCCTCACACCTGTAATCCCAGCATATTGGGAGACCAAAGTAGGATTGTTTAAGCCCGGGAGTTAGAGACTAGCCTGGGCCATATAGTGAGACCTTGTCTCTCTAAAAATAAAAAATAAAAATAAATAAATAAATAAAACTGTCTTAAGGACATAGAAACCAAATCAATTCAATATTGAAAGTTGAAAGTTGTCTTTCTTTTTTTTCCCCCCAAGACAGGGTCTCACTCTGTCACCTATGCCGGAGGGCAGTGGCACAATCATGGCTCACTGCAGACTCAACCTCCTGGGCTCAAGCAATCCTCTCACCTCACTCTACTGAGGAACTGGAATTACAGGAGCTCACTACGTAGCACAGTTGGCTAATTAAAAAATTTTTTTTTGTAGAGACAGAGTCTCACCATGTTGCCTTGGCTGGTCGTAAACTCCTGGACTCAAGCAATCCTCCCGCCTCGGCCTCCCAAAGTGTTGGTATTACAGGTATGAGCCACCATGACCTCAAATTTTAAGTGTTTTAATCATCTTCATTGAAAGAAAAAGAACCAATCATATCTGTCCATGTCCTACACAATAAAGGTCTCTGGAAAACAATGACTTAAACAAAAGAATCATTATTGTACAAAGCAACAGCTTACCTTAGGGTGCACCATGATGATTTTACGTAAAAAATGCTTTATAACCAGACAATCTGTCATCAAGGTTCTGGGCTTTTCATCAACCTGTAATAATACAACAAAAACACCTACCACACATACACAATCTCAAGAGCACAAATGAATTAAATTATGGTTTTTTTTCTCTTCTAAAAGTAACTATACCTCAGAAAGCTTTTCGGGCAACCAAAGGGAGACATCTTTGGGAATGAGAATTGTATGCAAAAGAAAATCTAAATAGCTATCACTTCTTGGGTTAGAGTATCTGTTACATGGAACTTCAGGAGACACAAGAACAAAGATCAGAGTAAAATTCATAATGTCAAAACCACCTTTGGGGACAAATTTAAAAGTAATTCAGACTGAAGTTGATAAGAATAACTCCACCATCCTAATGTGCTTTGGAACAATCTGTATTAAGAATCTGAGTTATGCTTTTTTAGAAAGAAATTTTTAAAAAAGAATCTGAGTGGAGTCAAAGGAGCAAACACTAAAAGGAACCTATTTTTGACATCAATCCATTAATCCAAACATTTATTTATATGGAAAAGTTGTAGAGCAAAAAGCTCAAAAGTCAGAAGACCTGTGTTTTAGTACTGGTTCTGTAAAAAAAAAAAAAATTAAATGCTCATGGAAAAAAAAAAATCACTGCTCTGGACCTCATTGTAGATCTGCAAAACAGGGATAAAATCTACCCCTTTGACCTCACAGAACTGTTTTAAGGATCCATATATTTGAAAGTATAGGCTGGGCATGTTGGCTCATGCCTTAATCCCAGCACTTTGGGAGGCTGAGGTGGGCGAATCACCTGAGGTCAGGAGTTCGAGACCAACCTGGCCAACATGGTGAAACCCCATCTCTACTAAAAATACAAAAATTAGCCAGGCATGGTGGCATGCGCCTGCAATTCCAGCTACTCAGGAGGCTAAGGCAGGAGAACTGCTTGAACCTGGGAAGTGGAGGTTGCAGTGAAACAAGATGGTGCCCCTGCACTCCAGCCTGGGTGACAGAGCTAGACTCCGTCTCCAAAAAAAAAAAAA